CATGAGACTATAAATACTAGGAGGCGGCTCAGCGCCTGTTTTATTGTTCCCTCATAGAGATCTTTCACTTCCTTGGTTAAATACATTCCTAGGTATTTTATTTTCCTTTTTGCTTTTATGAAAGGAGGCTCAGCGCCTGTAGCCAGCTGCCATACCCGCCCCGCCTCAGGCATTGCCCCTTGTCAAGCAGCCATGAGATTCTAGGCCCCCTGCAGCTGCTCACGCCCCAACACCACCTGCACCCTCCAGAGGACCACCACGTGGACCACCTGAATCTGAGAGGACCAACATCCATAGGTGGATGCCAGGAGCCCTAGCAGATTAATCATTAGCACTAGGGGTGAGAAAATAAAGCATCGAACACCTTAAACACCCTTGGATAACCTTCACAATGGGAAAGAGTAAACGTCAGAAGGTGAGCGTCTTCCAAACCCTATAGACAAGAAACTCTTCTGCAGGGACCCAAACACAGGGAATGCCCACGGCACCATTAAGTCTTGACTCTGTTCTCAAGGAATTGTCATGACCAGTGAGTTCACCAAACATCAGTGGCTCAGAGTAGCACCAGAACCCTGTGTCCCCTCCTGGAGAAGAAAATACCTCTGGAGAGCACTCTACACAGAAACCAGATGTCAGGAGAAAGGAGGTTGAAATAAGGAAGTATAACCTGCGAGAAAGAACGGGCCATTCATACAGAGAGATCAGCGAGTCTCAGGATGATGACTATCTCTATTGTGAAAGGTGGCAGAACTTCTACATTGACTGCTGTGTTTTCATGGGCCCCCTACATTTATAAAAAACACTGCAGTAGACAACGGGTATCCCAACCATCCCTCACTCTGCCCCCTGGGCTGAGTATGAGAGAATCAGGCATCCCTCAGGCTAGGTTCGGAGCATGGAACAAGGTATCTGAGCTGCCACTGGGACTGCACTTTGGCCCTTATGAGGGCCAGGTCACAGAAGATCAAGAGGCAGCCAGAAGTGGATATGCCTGGCAGATCGCCACAGGGAGAAACTGCTATGAGTATGTAGATAGGAAGGATGAATCTAAGGGCACCTAGATATGTGAGCTGTGCCTGTGATGACAAGGAACAGAATCTGGTGGCCTTCCAATAACACAGGCAAATTTTCTATCGGATCTACCAGGTCCCCAAGTCAAGCTGTGAACTGCTGGTCTGGTATGGGGACAAGTACGGTGAGGAACTGGGTATCACAGGGATCGACAAGGAAAAGAACAAAGGCTCAGCAGGGCAAGATCCAAAGCCAGGGAATCATGCACATCCGTCATGCTCTCTGACCTTCTCTAGTAAGAGATCCCTAAATCAACATGTAGAAGGCGCCCACTCCTCTCACATCTCCCCAGGAATATCTGGAAGAAAGCACTGCAGACTAAAGCATCCCTGCCCTGGCAATCAGAATCAGGAGCAGCAACTTTCAGATCCACGTGGCCAGTGTGACAAAACCAAAGGCCGAGCAGTTTCGGAAAGTCAAAACCCTCTCAAGGAAAGACAGCAGAGCACAACTTCAGGGGTATCTTCCCCTCACCTCAAGGACAAATGGGGAGCTCTGAGGAGGGTGAAAGAATGATGGAACCAGGCCACAGTGTGGGACCAGAGGAAACCAGCAGATTATGTGTGAAGATAGGAATCTCAAGAATTACAAAAGTCATGAATGGAGAGTGTGGGCAAAGCTTCATTGATAAGTCAAACCCTCTCACACACCAGAGGACACACACAGGACAGAAGCCCTATGCCTGCAGGGAGTGTGGGCAAGGAGTTAGTCTTAAAAACCCTCCACACACACCAAAGGACATAACCAGGGGAGAAGCCCTGTGTCTGCAGGGACTGTGGGAAGAGCTTCAGGGATAAGTCATCCCTCCTCACACACCACAGCACATACACAGGGGAGAAGTTTGTAGGGAGTGTTTGCAAGGATTCACCCCTAAGTCCAACCTCCACAGATATGAGAAGACCCACACAGGGGAGAAGTCTGACATTTTCAAGAAGCGTGAGGAATTCACTAGTAATAAAACCACATCTCAACCACAAGGAAGCAAATGTGGTCACAACCCACCTCTATACCCTAGCTCTGAGAGGGCTGCAGAGAAAGTCTAATGACCCCTTAGGTTCCCCAAAAGTGTAAAGAGCAGACATAACTAATTAAACAAATCCTCTACTTTCATGACTAGAGATGAGGAATAAAAACAGTGGTGAGGGGTCCTTCAGTATTTACAGGGTGCTGACTTGTTGTTGTTTGCCATACCGATCCCCTCCATGGTTGTTTTATGGGGTAGTTTCTTGGCCTCCTTCTCTTTTTGTTTTTCTTATTGTCGGGAATTCATTGAGGGTACAAGAAACCACGTTACACTGATTGCATTTGTTAGGTAAAGTCCCTCTTACAGTTGTGTTTTGCCCCCTAAAGGTGTGTCACACACACCGAGACCCCACCCCCTCTCTCCTTCCTTCCCTCTCTCTCCTTCTCCCACCCCC